CTTCACTAGCGGCAGAGCCCACCGAGCCACTGTCCGCGCCCCCTGCATCCGCCGCAAGCAGCTCACAGCCCGAGGCCGGGAGCACCACGCCAAGTGCTCCGCAAGTAGTGTAGAGAGAAGAAAAATGCCGCGTACTGTATATGCAGATCTACATGGCTGCCGCCTCGTCGAGTTAGCCCACGGCCGGCGAGCGCGCCGCCCTTGAAGTTTCCTCGTGCTAGGATGATTGTTGTGCTGGGGCCGGTCGAACCTTCTTGTCGCAACTCGAGGTGACACGAAATCGACCTGTGTGTAAAAGATCAGGCAAGAGGTAATTTTCAATGCCTCTTTTTAGTCCGCCTTCGTCACGACCGTGCGATACACAAGTTTTTCGTAAACGCTTCATGGACTCCTTTTGTGTTTTCGTAGCAAAATTCCTCAAGCACTAGTTTCGGTCGCCTACTACTCCACGTCCATCCTCTTGCAACCTCGATTTCTTTATTGACTTTTCTAACTTTGTCACGGTTTACTGTCACCTGTCATACGAATTCGTCCCTCCCGTTGAGAAAAGACTGATCGCTAGAGTTGTGGACAGCTCACAGATTCCTTTGCCACTACATAGCCCTGTACACCGTTATACGAGCTAGTGTGATGCTTTTGATTAAAAAGATAGGGGTGGGGACTGTTTAGCATACCAACGTCATCCCTTTCATCTGCATAAAAACAAAAAAGTGACGGCGCACATACCAACCCTCATTCCCTTTCAAACCCAAGACCCCGTCTGACTTCTGCTCCCCTGTGCGCAGAGATCAAAACTTTTTTCCATTACTTTGTCGGAAAAGAACGGAGGAGGAAGAGAAACCTCGGGAGAAATTGTTTCAAGGACGGGTGGCGTGAGAACGATAGCAATGGCTCCCTTCCATCAGGTTGGAAAATATGTTATCAAGCACAAAATCGGCGAGGGAGCATTTGCTGAGGTCCGGTTGGCAACTCACCAGGAAACTAAAGAAGAGTTTGCCGTCAAAGTGTTTGACAGAGATGCATTGCCAAAAACTCATTTTGAAAGAAACATTAAGAGGGAAATCAAAATTATGCAGCACCTCCGCCACCCAAACATTGTGGCCATTCACGCAGTGCTTGTCACAGAGAAGAAGCTGTACCTCGTCATGGAACTCGTGCGTGGAGTTGAACTATACGATGTCATTGTGTCAAAACGACGAATCGACGAGCCCACTTCCCGGCGATATTTTCAGCAAATGGTCGATGCTCTGGTGTATTGCCATCAGTGTGGTGTTGTCCATCGCGATTTGAAGCCAGAAAATTTGCTTGTGGATGGCAATGGAAACATTAAAATCACAGACTTCGGCATGTCATGGATGAAGGACAGTCTCAGTCCTGCTGCTAGAGCAAAGGAGCTACTTCGCACGCAGTGCGGAACCCCAAAATATATGGCACCGGAGATTATTGTGAGGCCTGCAGAGGGCTACGACGGAGAGAAATTGGATGCTTGGGAATGTGGCATGGTTTTATATGCGCTTCTCGCAGGATATTTACCCTTTTCTGGAGAGGATGATAGTTCGGTCTTTAGATCTATTCTAAACGGCAAGTTGATGTTTCCAAGTCATTTTTCTCCAGGTGCCAAAGATGTGCTTACGCACCTTCTCGAAAAAGATCCCAAAAAGAGGACTAGCGTAGCAGAAATAAGGACACATTTTTGGTTTCAAGTTAACTATCAAGGGAATCTGAAAGAAAAGAGTGCTTCAGCCGCTTCAGACAAGCATGAGAAACGTCCGAGGGAACAGGGTGGCACCGCTTGTGTCTCAGAGGTAGAGAAAGAAAGGGTTCGAGAGCAGCATGTCGCTGGAGAACGAGAGGGTGGTTCTAGGATGGTACATTCACCTCACGGTGATGCCGATATGGTCACTACGGAACATCAAAAGGGTGATGAAATGGAAGGTATAGTTTATGATAGTTCTCCTCAGAGCGATGTCTCAACTCCACAGCCACAGCAAACTCTCATTCATCCAATCAACAGCTCCGCGGCACAACAAGAACATCGCGTCGACGGTGCGGTTCTATCTGAAGAAGCTGCCGACATCAACAAACAACAGAAGAAATCATCTCCTCAGTCGCCACGTTCGCCTGGTCCAGCGTCTCACAAAAAGAGTGCAGATCCACACAACCTAGGAATCCTTGATAACGGCCAGGGCCCTTCACCAGAGACAGCACATGCATCTACACCTCGAGGCAACGGGAAAGAGAAGCCAAAGAGTCCGAAGGCAATGAAAGTAGTCGATACGGAGCTCCCAGACCCAGCAACTCCATCGCGGAAGCACAAACCCAGATGGGAGAGTCCTAAGAATCAGCGCTCCAAAGTCGATTCCGAAGGATCAAAGAGAACTCCTCGAAAAGCTCAGCCTCTTGCCATGAGATTGACAAGTTTGGTGAAGGGTTCCAACACAGGGGGAGATGGAGCTGATGATGAAGAGGCCCCTCTATCGATTCGGGACCGCCTTAGAAGCCCACTGGCTACGGTTTTGAGGTCTTTACGAAGTGGAACGGCAATGTCTGCAGACGTGGAGGCAGGGGTCCCAGGCTCCAAGTCCAGCTGGTTCGAGGTGTCTCCTTCCTCTGTTGCTGAACAGGCAAGGCGCGGCAACACAAACTTGGATCGCCCGGTAAAACCTGTTAATGATCTTTCTTCCCCCGACCAAGAGCTGGTACAGCTTGCCGGAGGCAATTTCGTTCCTACCGAGCTTCCACCTTCATCTTCTACCTTTAAGAAGGTGACAAGGGTTTTTCAGCGAAAGGCCTGATTTTGGACAAGCTCAATTTGTACGGTTATAGAAAATGGACGAAAAATAACTAGAGTAAACAGAGAGCTGCACCTTGCTATTTTCGCGGGTAACGCCAACACAAAAAGTATTTTATAGAATCAAGATGCTTCCGACTGAGCTATATCCAAAAACTTACGTTCTGAGACGTTCTCATCATGTGAATGTCACGGTCATTTCGTAAAACATGACTGTTAAGTAAAGCCATCCGATAGCTCACTGTCGGTTTACTTAGGTTGTTTGCTAAAATCGAAAAAAGGGGCTGACCAGAGTTGTTTTACTCTATGCTACTTCACATCTGCAAAAGTCGTTCCTTGCCTTTACGTTTTTTTAAGAAGGCCAGGCGTCATCTGACTTGTCCGCGATGATATCTTGCTGTTGTTGTGGTAAAACGGAATAAAGCCAATGCAAGTGGTGTTCAACGCGATCGAGGCATTCACGAACAGATGTTTTGTTAACCTTAGGCCCTAGCCCATTCATATGGTTATCAATATTATCCATGATCTTGCTATTCGGAATAGAAAATTTTCTTGCAAACCAATGAGGAGATCGAAGGAGCCATTTCCAAAGAGCGTACGATCCATCCTCCTCTACAAGTTTATCAATCACGTATGGATGCTGACCAGATGCAACACCATTCAACTTCCAGTAAACTGTTCGCAAAGAATGCGGAACAATAGTGCGGTTGTATTCCGGGTGATTCCGAAACAAAGAGACGTAGTAATGTTCGGATGCATCTTGCGAAAAAGCCATAGACAACAGCATTTTTCGAGCATAATGGCTTTCAATCATGTATCTACATGCTTCACGTGTCAGGATGAGCCACCCTTCACCCTTCACATATTCATATTTCAATCTCGAGAACAACGGAGTATTCTCTTTCAAAACCACGAGATTCGAGTCCTCTTCGCTGGTTGACATACCAAGAGCAGTATCCACAGCGATCTTCTCAAAGCGATATCTCTTACTATCCTCCCATTGGTCTTGTGGCGAAACAATAAAGAAATTGCTTGCTCGTTCACGCACATGTGGCATCGCAAGGATCTTCCTCTGCACGACAGGAGAAACGAGGGGATAGTCCGAGCCAGAAAGGTTGATAAAGTAGTCCCAATGTCCGAGTTTGAGTAGGTCCGTTATCGCTGCCAAATTATTCAAAACCATTGTGATTCCGCGATATGTCACCGAGTCTCGCTCCATGACATGTACATTTCCATACGCAGGGTTGGCCTTTATGGATGAAACGACTTTCACGACTCTGTATGCTGGTATCTTTTTATCAAAGTGCAGCGCGTAAAAGTTTTCGGGGTGGTGCACCCTAGAAAGCAATCGCTCCGTTAGTGGTAGCGTTGATGAAGAAACTTGGATGAAATAAGCAATGTTTGCTTCATCTGTGGCTTCTGCGAGTCGAGTTACATTCTCCAAAGTCCAATAATTGGTTGTGATAGAGGCCAATGTTTCTTTCTGTGAGCCCACAATCCCAGGTGTTGAGTCCCCGATGTACGAAAATCGGGGGATTCCTGCAGAAAAGCAGTTTTTTGTCGACGCAAAAGCAATGCAGAGTTGAACGAAAAGCACACAGAAGCCCATAGATTCAAAAATAGACTGAGTGCGGTTGCCAGAAGAGACGTTTCTACTACGTCTGCAGCGCAGACTTGTGCCTGTACGGTTCGTTCTTCTCAATCACTGATTAGTCCTGAGAGCGCCTCCAAGTTTCTGACTTTCGAAGTTCCGAATGCTTGAATCGCGGGATTCCAAAACAGTATTGATTTCGTGAATGTTGGAGCACGTAGGGGGAAGCAACGATCCACAATAGACAGAGTGAGACGTAGCAGTTTTGGATTTTTTTGCAGTTTGCAGTCGCTGAGAGAATAGTTTTGAAGGGCACTTTTCGACACAGATTCACTGTCTCCGATACATAGACTACCCAAGAGCTGGGCCAGACAGGAAAAATGGCGCACGTGTATGGAAAGATAAGATGTCTACGGTAACTCCATACTTCATACATAGCTCTCTACAGTAGTCATCGTCCTCTCTGCGGATTCACCGTCGTGCACCACGATAGGAAGTCCCTCTTCGAAACTGCTACAGTAAATGACAACTCTTTTAGAAACCAATGTTTTCTGGGCACACATCGAGAACTGGCGGTCCTCCCGTTCATCCGTCTGAAGACTTTTTTACTTCTACCGGGGCCAGTGATGCTCCACGAATAGACGTGGCAAGACTGAGGGGTGTTTCGCGTAGGAGATTATTCAGAGAACATACCGAGGGTAAGGCACCTCTTTTCTAGCCCGTCCTTTCATTTTAAACGTCAAGACCCCTTCTATCTTACGTATACGTAACGTAGTGGTTATTCACAGATATCGAAGCTAAATTATTGTTGCGATACCATAAGGGTTTCCAGATGAAGACCGTCACAGCTCCATAGAGGATTCGACGTAAAAACAAGCATGTTCATTCTTGAAACCTATGCAAAGGCGAGGGTCTCATCTCGGAAGGCTTTCCCGCACGCCTTATCCTTGGATTGGAAATGCCATCCTCCAGATTCCCCTGAACGGCCACTGCCAATGGACTCCGAGCTCCTTGCAAAGCAACTACTCTAGACACATCTCGTAGGGCTGACTTTCCAGCCAACCCAGCTCGAAGATAGGAACCGCCAGTAGCCCTGCTCTTAGCGAACTTGGCATGCTGCACGAAGCCTCCCACCGGCGCACTGATCTGGATCTCCCCACCGCCCTTCATGTGTTGGAACACCACGGCATCAGTGTTGACGAGGCAATCTACGTCGTTCTTCTTTGCGGGAATTGTGAGTTGGACCTCGTAGGAAGAGAGCGGCGACTCTGAAGACAGACTTGATTCCGTGATTGGACAGAGAGGTATGTTTCGATGTACCGGGCCATATTCTGGGGTCTGCGCGCGAAGACAGACATACTGCCCGCTTACGAATTCAGCCACCTTTTCATGGTCTTTTGGCGTGAGGACAACCGAGATGCCTGAGGTATTCTGTACGGGGTTGATTTTGGAAACTTGAAATGAACGGAACCCCTGCGTCATTCAAGGATGGAATACGTACTCTTTGCGTCAATGATGGGATTCTAGGACTGGCAAGCATTTGAACAGAAAACGAGTAAAATCGACAGAGTGTCGCAAACATACCTTCCATGCGCCCGCGGAAGTTTCGAGTCGCTCATAAATTTCTTTTTCTCGTTTTATGAGCTTATCAGCTAGAAATAACACTGCTTTATCCCAAGCCCCGCGTTCTTCTTCGGATATCTTGTCTCCAATAACTTGCTGGACAGCTTCTGAAAAGCATTTCGCAACGACCACGTAGTGCTCTGCCTGGACCGAGCGACTAACGTGCTTTGAACAAATGCGCGTCAATACGGGATTGAAGGCTTCCATGTTGTTCACATTTGCACAAAAGCTAAGTATTGAGTCTGCGAGAATTTGTGCCTGAGCGCTGATTTCGATGTCAAGCTTGTGATGAGACATCGGGCAGGAGGAGGATTTAGAACGAACGGAGAGGAAGTCAAGCGAGAAGAGCGACTTCAGAGACGGAGCGACATGGAAAATCCGTCGATACATCTCTATGGCAATCTCTTTTGAATTTGCTTTGAAAGTTGGTAGCGAGGATACTACCAGGCTGAGTGTGGATTCAGCCAACTTTGGGGTTTCGGTAGACGGTGGGGCATTATTACGGAGGGAGTTGCGCATGAAGAGGTTAGCCATATTGCGATTGGGGCAAGTTGAAGGAAGGGGGCTGCGGATGTCGGTGGGGAAGGAGACAGATTTATATTCTTGTGGGCAGCTGGGATGACATGGGGCTGCTTGACATGAAATTGCAGAAGAGTGATGTGCTTTTGACAACAGTCATAAGTGGAGAGGTTATGGTGATAAAAGGTGGTGTAAAGACACAGGTGGTTTTTTTTTTAAAGCGAATGCGAGAAGTTTATAATTACGACGGGTGGCGCAAGAGTTTCATTGCGACTACTGTATCTTTCTTCGCCGGAGACTCATGAGGCAAACGGTTTATGTTATTGCTGACAGGCGATGAGGTGTCCCGCGTGACGACGGTCAACAAGTTGTGTAAAGGCTTATAGGTGTAGTATACCTCTTTGTTATGTGCGGTTTCAATTGCCGCTCATGATTCGGATCTAGGCAATATTGCCCCCGCATATCGTTTAGTGCTGTGGTGTTTCATGGCGATAGAAATATGAGAGACAACTAGGGCGGAGTGGTGACATGTTCACCTGCACGTAGCGTTAGCGCCTCCTGCAGCAGTGGTATCACTTTATCAGTAGAACGCCTTTGCGTACTACTGATAAGTGATACCACAGCAGTAGAGAGGGACCCGGAGGGTCCCTTGAGGTTTTCGCAGTTGCGATCATCCTGGTTGGCTGCACATTTTTGAAGATGCTGTGAAGCAGACGGGGAGTTAGTGGAAATGTGAGAAAACGATCTATTGGTCCCTGAGAACTTTCTCTGAGATATAATTTTCTGCAACTGCGGTAAAGAAAACAGTATCAGCTCTGTCCGCGAGAAAGCAGTCTTATTTTTAAAAGAGCCTGAATGTAAGCAATGCATACATCCCTCAAGACGGATAATGCTCTGATGTGTAAAAGGCAGAAAGTGCGCGACTAATTAAACCGCGCTTTACTTTCGCAGTTTCGCGGCCACACCATTACCATTAATAAATCTGCTCTACCTGCACCAACACATACCCCCTCCCCCCTCCCCACAACTCAGCCCGTCACGACTGCCCATGTGCCCCCCCGCTGTTTTCTCCATCATCCCGCCCATCAATCCTACTGCCCCTTCGGCATGGTACGTCTTCCGGACACCCCCGGCGAATGGGAGGAGAACCGCCACACCTCCGGCCGTCTCTTCCTCACCAACCGAGAAACCAGCGAGACAAAGTGGCTCTGGCAGAAATGGGAAATGAATGGCCGCCCCTTCGTTCGGAACATCGCAGACCCGTCCCAACATCTCTGGGTCGACGCCATGGATTTTCATATGCGCATTGCCTCCGGCATGGCCACACCGGAAGAAGTTGAACAATACAAGCGCCACGGAGCCGGCCCACCGCCGCCTCCGCCGCCGCCGCCGCCCATCTACCCTCCCCATTTGCCTTACCCGCCGCCACCCACGCAAAATGGTATTCCCGCTTTTCGCCATCCAAACACCCACAACCCCGCCCTCCACTCCCACCCGTATCCACCTGCGTTCCAGCCGCCTCCGCCAACACGCCCCATAGCCCCGCCCGCTGCTCCCTTCAACCGCCATGTCCCGCCCGCAAGCTACGCCGACGCCACCAAGGGCTATCCCCCACCATACCAGCCTGGTCCACCAGGCCCGCATGGTCAGTACAACGGCTATCCGCCTCCCGCGGAGGGCCATCCACCTCACCACCACCCGCCGCTTCCACCACCTTCTGTAAATCCGCAAGTTCATTCCCGTTTCAGAGCGCTACCCGCCGCCCCACATGACCGCTACGACTCTGCACATCATTTTCCTCCGCACAACCTTCCATCAGCCCCTTTTCCACTCGAGTATAACCGAGACGCGACTGCACCGCCCTTTCCCACCGGCCCACAGCCTGACCCTTCCTCTCAACGGTACGACAGCGAACACCAGCAACCTCCTTTCCATCACCACGATGCGCGAAACCATTCTTTTGCTCCTGACTTTGAACAGACCCCGAACCAAACAGAAAAGCGCAACCGCTTTCAAGAAATTACCCCAAACAACACAGGCCGCTACTGGGCCAACAACCAAGATTCGAATAGGAGTAAGAAGCGACTCAAGTCTGACAAGGGGGCAAACGGAAAGCAAAAACAGGGAAAGTCCCGTTTCGCTGCTCTCGCGCCCGTGCCAAAACCAATACCTCAGTATCCCCCTCGCCAGCCTCCGCAACCCATTGAACATGGTGATATGATACCCGCAACTCACGATGCCAACTTCCGACCTGCGTCGAAGTATGCGAAGTCCATTGCCAAGGTTTGTCTCCAGGTAGCTGATGTTTCAAAAGTTGCTATTCTGTATAACAGAGATTTCAAGTCTCATACGCACGTGAATGGCACGTCTTCACCCCAGGATACAAATGGATACGGTGAATACGCCTACGAAGCTGTTGTTGGAACGTGTGAGGAAATCGAAAAGGATTTCCTGCGTTTGACTTCTGCTCCAAAGCCCTCCGCGGTACGTCCGCCCCACGTCCTCAAACGCGCCGTAGCTCACATCAAAACGTTGTGGGGGGAAGCCGAACGAGACTACGATTGGGTTTGCAGACAGTTGAAAAGCGTACGACAAGACTACAAAGTCCAGCACGTCGAAAGCACAGAAGTTCTTGAGGCGTACGAGACCCATGCGAGAATTGCACTGGAGAAGAGTGACCTTGGCGAGTTCAATACCTGCGTCGCCCAATTGCAGGAACTGTACAAAAAAGTTTCCCGTGCCCAACACATCCAGGACGAGTTCTCATCGTACAGAATACTCTACAACTTGCTCGTGGACGCGAGGGAGTGGGAGCAGAGCAAAATTCTGGCACAGTTTTCCAAGGCTGAGAGGACCAGGACGGCCACACGATTTGCACTCAGCATTCGACAGGCCGTGTTGTCAGGCAATTACCAGAGTTACTTCAAACTGAGTACAACTCCTCCCCGAAAAACCATGATTCATTACCTCCTCGATCACTTTCACAATCGAGTAAGATGGAGAGCAATCTCCACGATGATTTCAGCTTACGGTCCAACAAAACTCCCGATTACCTACGTTCATAATCAGCTGGGGTGGGCTGACATTCAGGATCCTAGTGAGTTTTCCGGTGCCGACCTTGCAGAGATCATAAGGTCGAAGGCTGGTGAAAGTGGGCTTCTCAAGGATTTCAACTCCCTGAAATTGGAATTCCTGCCGCGAAGCACTCTCAAGGCGATCTCGTTTTTACTGACTATTGGTGTCGTCTTTACATTTGGAGAAAAAGGGAAGCCCGGAAAGGACCGACTGCTCATGGACTGCAAGGCAACGAAGATGGCAGGGCTTAAGAAGTATGAGGCGTCCAAGCTCATCACCCATGCAGGTGCTGAGCGTTCCTGAGCACACTTCGAGGGCTTGTTTGTTTGCATAGAAATCCTTTTTTTGATTGATACTGTGTATGAAGGATGGGCAAGGCAACTTGTTTAATGAATTGCTTCCATTGTTGTCAATTCAGTTTGCTACTAACCTCTTTTCCTATTCTCTACTGTCTTTGCAGATGCTATTCATGAACAGATAAGTAAGGTAAGGAACTAAGAAATCTGAGACTGAAGATAATGGCCTTCGTTGCACCGCATAAGCACGACATGTCGTCTATAGACCAAGGCGAGACCGCTTGCCCCTTGCAAGAAAGTGCAATTGAGACGACATTTAAACCTGCAATACACAGAAGAAAAAGCTCTACGCGTCTCACAGTAAGACTTATGCTTTGTAAACGAAAACCTCACACCTCCCAAGAGTGAAGGTCGACTTTGAATTCAAGCGCACGCGAAGACCAAGAGTGAAAGGCGAACAACTTCTTATGATCAGGGTGAGCAAAGATATGTGATTGCATCCGATTTTGGCCTACTGGCCAATCCGTAATTGCGTTTCGTGTGATGTACAAAATCTTGATCATCCTTGCGGTATGCAACTCGTGAAACACAGGCAAATTACAAGGTCCATCCCGTAATCATCTCGAATTGCTAACACTGGCGTTCGCACGCAAAAACCGCGAAAGACAATCGTGTGATATGTTTGTAAATCGGCATTTATATTGTGAATACGATTTTCCTTCATAAACTCTTTCATCATTCCCTAATCTTGATAGACAAGTGTTAGTTGCTAGAGTAAGTGTTACCATAGCGTATAATCGTTCACCCACTTTGCAATGCGATCGACTCTACCACTTCGCGGTACAACAAGTCCGCTTTCGTTTTCGATGTGTCTTCTTATGAGCCACTTTCTGCATTCGTCATAGGCAAGTATGAATATCCCGAATGGTATCCCAGGCAGCCAGTGGACAAGCTTCAATGGCCGGACATCGAATCCTCGCCTGAGCATTGGCAGGTACACAAGAACGATAGATACAGCGAGTTCGACGAGTATGGAAAACATCAGCACAGAATTCTTCAAGCCGTTCTGGAAGACACTCAATATTCTGGTCCGGCATGCAAAAACAGTAAACACCTGGGCAATAACGATAGCTGCAAAGAAACCTGTCTGGGCACGACAGAGAACTTCACGCTCTCGCCGAGGAGTCCAGAGGCTGAAACATCCCTTCGTGGGGCCGGTGCCCTCGTTGACATTGACATTCTTTTTTCCCGCTTTCAACCCATGTAGGGAGATGAGGCCCGTGTTTAATTTGGGGTCAAAACATGCGATGTCGTTTTCTGAGTTTCCCTTCTTTCCATCCAACTTGCATGAGAATGCGTGGCACGGGGGCCGGTTTGTCTCAAACCCTATTACCTTGACCATGTTTTGAAACATTTTCGGATCCGCGCGTTTGCCGTCAGAGCTCTCTTGGTTCTTCGAGGTTGAAGAAGCGGGTAGCAGCTCAAAGCGATCCTCTGCTTGTCGGAGAAATCCAGGTTGTTTTGCCGCGAAGTACTTCACGAAGTTCAAATCATCTCGCGTGAACCAATTTGCGTTGAAGGCAGCTCCAGACGGTTTCTCCTGTGTTGCATACAACCATCTCTGATTGCCAATACGTTCTGATCCAAAGTGGGCACCTGCACTCAAATTCAGAAGACCTCGAGGGCCTAAACCATAGTCGTTCATTATAATAAAGTACGCCAAGAATCCAGCGAATGATTGCATCACACCAATTTGCAGTGTAGAATAAGAAACCAGACGCGCATTCATGAGATAATCCGACTTCGCATTTCGGGGCGGACGTTTCATAGTGTCGCTCTCCGGTCGCTCGTACGCGAGAGCAATGGCCGGAAATATATCGGTGCCAAGGTCAATGCAAAGTATCAAGACAGTCGTCAATGGTAGGGGTATTTGCAATATTATAAAGACTAAGAAAGGAACAAGTTGTGGCACGTTGCTGGTGAGCGTGTACGCAATGCTCTTCTTCAGATTGTCGAAAATGAGACGGCCTTCTTCCACGCCGTCTACGATGGAACAGAAATTGTCATCGAGTAGTATGATGTTCGCGGCTTCTCTTGATACATCAGAGCCTGATATTCCCATTGCGATTCCTGTGTTTGCTTGTCTTAGTGCAGGCGCGTCATTGCAACCATCTCCCGTGACTGTTACAACCTCGTTGAGCAGTTGGAGCTGTTCAACAATCTGTAATTTTTGCTGCGGAGACGTACGGGCAAACACAATTTCTTGGCGCGAGAGGATTTCTTTCCATCTCTCCTGGTCGGCATCCCTGAGTTCAACACCGCTAATGATTGCGGCACTATCAATCGTACCTTCACAAATTGCCTCATCTTCTCCATCAACAGACTTAGTGATTATTCCCACCTGCTGAGCAATTGATCGGGCAGTCTCTGGGTGATCTCCAGTCACCATGATGACTCGGATACCGGCTTCTTTGCATTTTTGTACCGCTTCTGGCACATTAGCTCGAGGAGGATCAAGTAAAGATACAAACCCGACGAGGCAGAGTCCTGTCGTCGGAATTTCGTCAATGGAGGGATTTGAGCCGTCACCGTTCATGATGCGAGCCGAAAGTTGCGGAGATAGTCGCTTCTCCGCGTATCCTAGAACGCGCTCCCCTCTTCCTGCGAGATAAGTCACCTGCTTGTCAAGTAAAGCAAAATCTCTTTCGCTCAGACTTCTCACACCTTCCTTTGAAATAAATTCTGAGCAGCTCGATAAAATCTTTTCAGGGGCACCTTTCATCACGACTCTTAGGAGATGCTCCGAGTCTTGGCATCGATGACATGTTATCATGTACTTTCTTTTTGAGTTGAAGGGAATTGTTGCTAGTAAATCATTTCTTCGACGGAAATCCTGCGTGGAATGAATACGTTCTGTAAAGCGTAAGATACCTGCCTCTGAGGGGTTCCCGACAACGACACGATCCATGATGTCTTTCTCAGGATATCGCATTATATCGGCCTCTTCGAAAACCGCTGTTGAACAGACGCTCGCGCAATAGATTAGCGCAGAAATGCTCTCTTGAGCGACTGTCCTCACTTCCCCATCTTGCCTATCGGCAGGTCGTGTATATGTCCAATTGGCATCGATCGTTTCGATCCGTCCTCCATGTGCTACATGAGACACATACATTGTGTTTTGTGTAAGAGTCCCCGTTTTGTCTGAGCAGATCACTGTGGTCGACCCAAGAGATTCCACTGCGTCTAGCCGTTTCACCAGCACGTTTTTTCTTGACATTCTGTAAGCTGAGGCCGTTAAGGAGACGGTGACGGTTGCGAGCAAACCTTCAGGGATATTACTGACTATAATGCCTATGCTGTAGACGAAATTGTGAATGAAGCGTGTGCCCGTGATAAGACCAGTCGTAAAGAACAGCGCACCGACAGCAAAGGCGAATGCGGAGACCAAGACGACGAAATGGTGGATATCACGTTGCAGAGTGGTCTTTCTTTGTTTACCGTCCGTAGCTGACGTGAGTGCGGCAATTTCTCCGAAAACTGTTCTATCTCCAGTTGCGATCACGACCCCAGTGCATGATCCATCAAGTGCTAGGCAGCCGAAGAAGGCCAGATTCGATGTCTCCAGAGGATCTGTGGAAGTCATCTCGGGTACTAATTCCAAGGGTTCACTTTCCCCTGTCAACGAAGAGTTGTCAACGGTAAACCTGTTGCTGTACAAAACCCTGATATCTGCTGGGAGTTTGTCACCAATCTTGATCTTTACAATATCCCCAACAACAAGTTGAGCCGCGTCTATTTCAAATGTAGACCCACCATCGCGTCGCACGACTGCCTTCGCCGGCAAAAGGTGTTGGAACTCGCGTAGGGTCTTGTCCGATTTGAACTGTTGAGCATATGAAAATAGAGACGTTGTGACGACGACAACAAATAGAAAGACTCCCAAGTAGAGATGCATGGGCTCATCTGACTCCGACAAAAAGGCAAGCACACATAGAAAGCTTGCGAATAGTAACATCAATGAGAACATATCTGTAAAGTGAGGAATCACTTTTCTCCACCAGGGCTTCTGCAACGGCGGGCTGAGCCTGTTTGGTCCGTACTTTGCCAAGCGCTTTTCGGCGTCTGCCAAGGTCAATCCTCTTGCGGCGTCGGTGCTTAAACGGTTGAGGACGATATCAGCACTTACTTTGTGTTGCCAAATTGAACGGACGCCATTGACGCGCTTCCCATCTGTTTCGTACAATGTTCCCTCTGCCTCAAACTCCCCTCTGCTCTCGATATCAAGTGGGCCTGGTCCAGTTGAGGGACCAGCCATTTCCCAATAGGGAAGTGGTTGCTTTAACCGCCTAGCTTTGTCAAGATTTCGTGATACACGATCAGCCCCTTCTTCAAAGAATAGGGCGCAAGTAGTTGACGAGAGGCACAAAAGACTTGCGAACCACAACGCAAGAAACGATGGGGTTTCAGCTTCAAAGGGCAGCACAGAGGCTCTGTTCCCAGATTTAGGGAGTCTGGAACGGTGAGAACAGCGAGACACGGACAAGTCTCAATCACAGTACATCCAAAGGAATTCACAACGTAAGCAGAGGAGACACATCTGAACGATAGAATAGTGGAGGTCAAGACATCATAACGGTTAAAAATTAAGACATAAGACATGCCTTGCACTAACAGAAGAGGAGATGGTGCTTGCATTTGCTGCGGCGCTGCCGGCGTGAGTGGGGGAAGGCAAAGGGAAAATGTCCTGTAAATTCAGGAGCCAGTATCGCAGCGGGAGGGCGGCGGATGTCCAGCCATTGTCCTGGTGCCAAGCAATAGGTACTTAACAACAGGGAAAATTCTGAGCTCCAATGCTCCAGAAAAGAACTCTGAGTCTCTCCAAAAGTCGGAACGGTGCATGAGATGAAAAAATGACGTAGTTATAGAAGCGATGAAATGTTCAGAAACAAAATGTACGAAAAGTCTGCAGACCAGTACCCTTCAAGGGAAGGGTACACGGTGCTGTAATTTAACGATGGGAGGCTTCGATGCTTGACGCTAAGTTGCAGAGTCGCCTTCGCGGAGGCGGCGAAGGAAGCGGCCGCATGGCTTGACAACGCGGCGATCGACTAGTGGCGCTAGGGCGAGGGCCCCTGCGATACGAAAAGGCCTTGAAAGATTATTAATTCCCCACATGAGGGCGAGAACCTTTGTAGAGAATAAAGAGGCCAGTGGGGTAGGGCTTTGTTTAGACAAGTTGGCACTCAAACTAACGACAGGGATGTCGGCAACAAATGAGACTGCTTCATTAACGTACTTGCGGCAGTGTGCTCATTGTAAGCACCTTTCCAGTCGCCAGATATGCGCGTAGGGCGAGCAAAAAGGAGAGTGAGTATGTCAAGGCGTCAAAAAAACCGTACGAAAGAAAAGCAGCAAGGCCATAATTGCGCAGGGCGGCCGCCTTCTGCCCCGCTCTTTTCGCAGAAACGCGCTTCCCCCATGCGATCAACCCGGACAAAGGGCCAGAAGGCGCCGGTGTTGCCAAAGGCGGGGGGACCTCGTCGGACAAGTCTGGGGGGACGCTGCACATGCGTGCGCCTCGAGTAACGGGAAGACGCGTGGGGCGGTAGGCATAGTGACGGTGCCTGGTAGTGGTGCTGAAGCTTCCGCGAAAGAGACGGGCTGGGGGAGGAAGAGCGAAAGTGACGGCAGGCATTGTCATCGGGGACATCGTCGGGATGGAGGTTGGGTGGGATGGAGGTCGCGCAGGGGAGATCGAGCCGATGAGCCGATCTTTCCCGAAGAGTTGGGCGAGATAAATTTTGCGAAGCGTTATTTCGATACACCTGTTGAGTCGCCAATCACAGCCTTTCGGATGTCTCCATCCGATCTGAGCACCGCATGTAAGTTGCACAGCCTTGCCTCTGATTCATCTGGTGGTGCGTCTATCAACTCAGAAAGCGACCAGCAGCCCAAGGGAACGAACTGCTAAGCACAACATCAAGTTTGTCCTCCTTTTAGCTAGATATAAAAGACAGCGCATAGTCGTATCGCTCTAAGGAAAGGCATGTTCACGCACTTCCAACACTATAAATACATGGCCTTCATCGTTCCCGCTCTCCGCCTAGGCGTCATCACTCATCAACCTACAACCTTTCTTCATAATCTCCCAAACAACCGTTGTTTCTCGACCCGTTCAGTGAAAACACTTTACTCCGCTTGCCAGTCCCGTCCAACCATCTCGTTCTCGCTAGCCTCGCAGGAATCTATCACAAGCCAACCTTCCGCCATGTCATACATGAATGCCGACCTCGACCACATCGCTCTTGATTGCAAGAGCGACCCGCTTGACCTCCTAGATTTTTACGTATCCGTATTCAATTTCGAACCGCTCAAGGTCGAGGAATTCAAAGCTGGCACATTTCCGTTCCCCAGTGTCCGTACAAGTGCCAAAACCATTCTCGACTTCTTCGCCACCTCTAAGGATGACCCCAACCCGCCGAAGGGGCTTCGCCAGAGCAACCATTTCTGCTTCGCCGTTTCAAAGAGCGACTGGGATGAGCTCAGGGTGAGGCTTAAGGAGAAGAAAGTTGACACGATGGGAGAGCCGAAAGAGCGCTCGGGCGCCAGGGGAGATGGAGTTAGTATTTATGTGAAGGACCCGGAGGAAAATGTTGTTGAGTTCCGCTACTATCCACATGAGGCCTAGTTGGATATAGGCAGTTTTCTGGGACTCTGCTATGCCGCTAACCCGAATAGGGAAATCCAAAGCACGCCTTCTGATCTTCGCATATCTTCACGCAGTAAATGGGCGCTTCCTGAAACTATTTTTGTGCAGTACACATTTTTTTGACACATTTCTCAAAATCTAGAAATGTGCTCCCATTTCACGCCTGAAACTCGTGTGCACAAATTCCTCCCCTGACTGATGAGCAGTAATTTTGCTCCTACTCAATGGCATCGAAGGGCTCTGCAGACGAGACGCGAAACCGACCGGGATACCCCTGAGCAGGCATGCCGCCCTCATCTGCGCTGCTGCTGTTGCTTCTCCGCCAAGGAAGTAATAGCAGGCGCTCCCTCACCTTCCGCACGATGTCCTCCTTGACATTCTCGACCGCATGACCCCCCGCCCAAACCACCCTCTTCTCCCAGTTGTGCACCACCCCCTGACATGTGGGCCTCGCTCGCGCGCCGTCATCTCGGCATCGCCCCAGCCCAGCACGCGCTTTCCGCCGCCACCCTCTCTTCGCTCGCCGCCTCCCTCGTGTCCCGCTGGTGGCTCGCCACCGGCGCCTTCGTCCCGGGCGTCCCTGTGCACTTCCGCAAGGGCTTCACCGAGGTCCACGCCCGCGGCGGCGTCGAGCGCGACGTTGCCGAGGACTCCGTCGCCGCCTACGTCTTGGGCCGCCACAAGGACGTCGCCGTCTCCGTCACCGTCCCCGTCGTCACCATGCACTTCTTCCTCGAGGCCGCGGGTCCATTCCCCATGGAGCGCATGCCTCTGCGCCTCGTCCACGTCTCCAAGACCGCGCCGCGCGATCCACCCGCCTTCCCGCCGTCGGCCCCACCCCTGCTCGACGGGCCCGACACGCGCGCGCGCGCGTCGTCGTCAATGGCTCGACACTGCTCGCGTGTGCCGTGCCCAGCGGCGACTGTGTGTGCGTGCTGGACGTGCACGTGCCGCCGGAGCTGCTGCTGGCCAAACCGCCGCTGCACACGATGGCCGTAGAGTACGACCGCAAGTCGCGCGCGGCGTACTGGCTCAAGTCTGTCGACGTCGTGCCGTGCATCCTGCCGCTGCCGCCAATCGCCGATGACGCGTGGCGCTTCACGCCGCACGTGCCGGACATGACGCCCCCGCGCCCGTGGGCATGCTGGCGGGAACTGGAGAATGGGAGCTGGAGAATGGGAGCTGGAGGATAGAGGATGTTGGAGGCGGGAACGCAAAAGACAGAGATGCGCTTGTTGGCGGAGGATGCTACACCGCTTTGTCGCTCTGTTGGGAG